CTTCAGGCTGGGCACTTTGAACATGGAAGGATAATCTAAGTGTGATGTCAAGGAGTTTACAGCTTGGCTGTTTTTGGTGGGTTTTTTGGTCTTCATTAAGAAAGAAAAACAGAACTTATCTACATGGTCAGATAAAGAAAACCATGGGCAGATTCTAGCAATTGCTTTAACTTAAAAGCTTCATTGAATCCTTGAATCCTTAATGACTACAATTAGAGCTCAACAGGGTGATGTTATTTCCTCTGCCATTAATTAATGCTTCAATCTTAAATATGATCAACCTATCTCTAATAATCGGCTATGTACCACAGGCCTTCAAGATGGCTGTAGTTAAACCTTTACTTAAAAAGCCATCTCTAGACCCAGCAGTCTTAACTAATTATAGGCCAATCTCCAACCTGCCTTTCATATCAGAAATCCTTGAAAGAGTAGTTGTCAAACAGCATCTGCAGAGGAATGGCTTATTTGAAGAGTTTCAGTCAGGTTTCAAAGCTCATCACAGCACAGAAACAGCTTTAGTGAAGGTTACAAATGATCTTCTTATGGCCTCTGACAGTGGACTCATCTCTGTGAGTAGTAATATAATGGCACCCCCCACACCCCTCACCCCCTCCCCTTTCCTCCTGCGTGTCCATGTGAGTGCATGTACGCGTGTACTGGCTTTGCTTGTGCATGTGAGTTCAGGACTCATATGAGTTCACATGTGTTTAATAGCATTTTATTTAATGAAACCATTATGTGTTTTAATTAAACTCTTTTTAAGGATTGTATAGGTCTCAGAGCTCTGTTATTTAGACATAGATGATTTAATTTAACTAGTTTAGGAGCATTTTACTTTTCTTTAGCGCTTCGAAAAGTCACAGAGGCTAATAATTTTTAAACAGAGTGCCACAAACAACATGTATTCTTTTAGAAATAAACTTTCTAAAAAGAATACATGTTCTAAAAACCGAGTATTCCCACACAGCATTTAATTTAACTGCTTAAGGAGCATTTCACATTCTTTAGCGCTCTGGAAGACACAGAGGCTAATGGTTTTAAATAGAGCACCACAAACAACATGTATTCCTTTAGAAATAAACTTTTCTTGTGATATTTCTAAAACCACACATTCACACATAGCCACACACTGCAACAGTATGACTTGATGATTAGACAGAGGGGGTTACAGGTAGGGCCCCCGCCCAACAGTCAGCAAGACAAGTCATAAAACAATAAAAGCAGCCTCCTTATCAAGAGCACGCACATCCCAATGGTAGTTCCATAGTTTCCACCTTTTTCATTACAAACAGTTCCTTTATCTGGCAATTACACCTCCTACTGACTAACCGAACCTCCATAGTTTTTCCACCTTTTTCTTCACAACCTGCTCTTTATATCTGCATATATCTGCATATATCTGCTTATCCTGCTAGACCTCAGTGCAGCGTTCGATACTGTTGACCATAATATTCTATTAGAGCGATTAGAACATGCTGTAGGTATTACAGGTACTGCACTGCAGTGGTTTGTATCATATCCATCTAATAGATATCTAATATACATGCTTCCCCAAGGCAGTATCATTAGAAGACATAGCATACATTTTCACTGCTATGCTGATGACACCCAGCTCTATCTA